CGCCATACTGTACAGGAGTTAGGGTATTATTATCACCAACTTCATCGCCATACTATACAGGAGTTAGGGTATTATTATCACCAACTTCATCGCCATACTGTACAGGAGTTAGGGTATTATTATCACCAACTTCATCGCCATACTGTACAGGAGTTGGGGTATTATTATCACCAACTTCATCGCCATACTATACAGGAATTAGGGTATTTTTATTATCACCAACTTCATCGCCATACTGTACAGGAGTTAGGGTATTATTATCACCAACTTCATCGCCATACTGTACAGGAGTTAGGGTATTATTATCACCAACTTCATCGCCATACTGTACAGGAGTTAGGGTATTATTATCACCAACTTCATCGCCATACTGTACAGGAGTTAGGGTATTATTATCACCAACTTCATCGCCATACAGTACAGGAGTTAGGGTATTATTATCACCAACTTCATCGCCATACTATACAGGAGTTAGGGTATTATTATCACCAACTTCATCGCCATACTGTACAGGAGTTAGGGTATTATTATCACCAACTTCATCGCCATACTGTACAGGAGTTAGGGTATTATTATCACCAACTTCATCGCCATACTGTACAGGAGTTAGGGTATTATTATCACCAACATCATCGCCATACTGTACAGGAGTTAGGGTATTATTATCACCAACTTCATTGCCATTCTGTACAGGAGTTAGGGTATTATTATCACCAACTTCATCGCCATACTATACAGGAGTTAGGGTATTATTATCACCAACTTCATCGCCATACTGTACAGGAGTTAGGGTATTATTATCACCAACTTCATCGCCATACTGTACAGGAGTTAGGGTATTATTATCACCAACTTCATCGCCATACTGTACAGGAGTTAGGGTATTATTATCACCAACTTCATCGCCATACTATACAGGAGTTAGGGTATTATTATCACCAACTTCATCGCCATACTGTACAGGAGTTAGGGTATTATTATCACCAACTTCATCGCCATACTGTACAGGAGTTGGGGTATTATTATCACCAACTTCATCGCCATACTATACAGGAGTTAGGGTTTTATTATCACCAACTTCATCGCCATACTGTACAGGAGTTAGGGTATTATTATCACCAACTTCATCGCCATACTGTACAGGAGTTAGGGTATTAGGGTTCGGGTGTGTATTCCATAACTCAACTGCAGACGGTAGGAAAGAATTTTCATATTGGACAGACTTTGATGGAATTCCCTTTAATTCGTCTTGATTGCGGACTGGATAAGAGTTATTGAGGAGTTTGGCTTTAAGTACATTTAGTCGTTCGTCAAGGGCTCTGTACCTCCTCTTTCTGTGTCGTTTTGTATGGAAGCCGGCTGCGGCCATATTACGAGAAGTCGAGAGACGAGAAAGCGAGGAAAAAGGCGAGAAAGCGAGGGTAAAAAAGGCGAGGAAAAAGGCGAGGAAAAAGGCGAGAAAGTGAGGAAAAAGGCGATATTCGATAACACTATAAATACTCTTGCCTTTCAAATTACACACTAAGTTATAAGAACTGTGCCTGTGCTTTCGTAACTATGTCATTAGTACCAAATTACAACCTATACTTCCTAAGATTTATAATTGGTTGAAAACTAAATTCCAGATCATGTTTAACATGGCGTAAGACGTCAATTGATAGGCATATTCAATATTTCATTATAAATGAATATTTATTTCACTGATATATCGAATCCAAGGACCATAGTTACATAATAGAAATGAGACGCATTTTT